GGTGTGGTGTACCAATAGCCACGTGGCCAGTGTATGCGGAGCAGCAAATGAATGCCTTCGAAGTTGTGAAGGAATTGGAATTGGCGGTGGAGTTACGACTTGACTATCGAGAGGGAAGCAATGTGGTGACTGCAGAGGAGCTAGAGAGAGCGCTGAGGCGCTTGATGGACAACAATGACGAGGTCAGATCGAAAGTGAAGCAAATGGAAGTGAAGTGCAGAATTGTTCTCATGGAAAATGGATCCTCATACGAGGCCTTGAATCTTCTGATTCATAAATTAACGGCTCATATTTTGTAATAATTTGAAACTGAGACATATTAAAGTTGCATATTTTCTCTTTGTTCGCGGATAATGCTCGATTAAATAAATATATATTTACCGCTAAAATAAAATGGAATCAATGAGTTGGAATAAAAAGTTAAAAGAGTTCTTTTTTCTTTTCTATTTCTAATAACACAAAGTTGTATTCTTTATGTCACCCTGACTTTTATGATATTACATTTTGTAATTAGTGGGATTTCATTTTCATAACCATATAAATATTTGACATTTTGACATTTTCTGCTTCTGAAAGCAACATGTACGAATGAAACATTTTCTAAAATTTTACTATTGCGGTAGTTAGATGTCATTTTCATCAAATTTGACATTTACTTTTTTTTAATTACTTCGTTCATACAAAATCGATCAATGTCTATTATGTCACTTACTCCATATTTTCTTTTTTTACTCCAATAAATAAGGGTGCGAATTTGAATATTTAATTTCTAAGATGTTAATTAATTAGCTCTCTTCAATTTGACTTCCTTATTTCAAATAATTTTTTTCTGTAAAAATTTAATATCAAATATGCACCTTAAACTTTTTAGAAGAAGAAACTAATTATTTTTTGTCGAACATTCTAATGTTTATTCTATTTTTATTTTAAACTTTCAAACGTTTTATTTTAACTAATTGAGTTTATAAATAAAAAAAATCATTTTTGTTATCATCATTAATTTTTCACAAATGATTTAATGTGAGTTTATGATATTTTTGAAAAAAAAAATGTTAAGTGAAGTACTTACTTTGTAAGCATTTTCTTAAAGAAAATTAACTAAATACTTTATCTCAAAGAACTGTAATCATTTTTAAAAATTAATTAGTTCAGACGACTCTTTAAAATTTTAACAAAACGCTACAAATTTTTTTTAACAAATATTGTTAGTCTTTCATAAATAATTTAAACATGTAAAACACACATAACAAACAGGAGCAGAACCAATGTGGGCCCGGGGACTCGAACCCTACTAAACTCTGTGATATATATTAATATTTTTCATAAATCACTGAATTACTTCATTATCTCAGTGGTATCCAAAATATTATATAAATATTTAAAAGGTTCCAACGTAGTGTCTAATAGTTTAGCATTTTTCAATTATAACGTTACTGAATAATATTAAAATTAGAGATGACCATAAGCTAACTTGAGATGCTAATTAGTGATTTGGTAGAAATTTTGAAAATGAATTAGACTAATGCTAGGATTTCTTAGAAGGGTAGAAAGTCGACTTTTCTTCATTTAGGTACCCTATCCCATCTTCTAAATTTGTGTATCACACCGTGTAAGTTGTAATTAGTTAATTTTGTTGGGAGAATTAAAAATAACATAACTAGTTTGGAGTAAATATTGAGAAACAAACACATAATCTCAATTAGGTTGAGATGCATGTATCTCGCTCCTTTTAAGAAGATTCAAGCCCTCTGACGGTGTGCATTTCTTTATCAACCACCTTCCAGTGCAAGTATTCTCTAGCATATCCCCTCCAAGATACAACAACTCAATTAAAACGTCATGTAGCTCAAACCACTCTGCAATTAGAGGTTGAGTTTAAAGCTCTACAACAAAGAACACTCATCTTTTAGTCAATTGCTCTTGAAGGAGCAAAATAGAAAATGTAGAGAAGAAAGTATGAGTTGTAAGTTGTGTTAGTTGTATTTTGAGAATGTAAGAAGAGAGATATTTATAGGAAAGGTAGCTGCAGTAACTTATAAAAAGAAATAAGTTTTTTAACCTCTCTTTATAATATGTGATGTTTCCCTCCCATGCATTGGATAAAGATTCTCAAAATTTAAACCCTCGAATTAAATTAAAAAAAAACCCATATTTAATTATAGGTAAATATTAAAATGTAACAACAAAATTTTAACATTAAAATATAATTGAAAAATACGACAAATACTTGAGAGATTAAATTAAAACTTTTAAAGCTCTGGAAATAAATGGAAAAGAATTATCTAAACATTAGACAGCAAGCCAATGGGAAGAATAAGGGGAGATGAATGGAGAAGAGAGAGGAAGAGGATGGGGAAATGTACAAGACAAGAGGGAAAATAAAGGAAAAGATCGATGTATAGAGATGGCAGTGGGAGTGGAGAGAGGGGGTTGCTTGAAGGGAGACTCAAATTTCCAAATTTGAAGACTCAACTTTGTGCTAAATAAGGAGATTACTTAAAGCAGGAGAGAGATTTCCAAAAGTGAGCAAAAGTGCTTTTTTCCATTTTAGAAATGAATAATGCAAAAACTAAAAAAAAAAAAAGAGAGAGAGAGAGAGAGAGAGATTGACAAGAACAAGACGGTGGGTGTGTGGTGTGGGGGTCATAAATCTGACTGAGATTTTTGCTTCCCTTAACAAAACCAAACAACAGCCAATAGAGCTGCAAAAAGAGAAAATGATGATTTGCAGAAACAAGAAAGAAAGAAAATTTCAGAACAGCTTCTCTGTAGCAGAGAGGTGAATGATTAGATCAAAAATCAACAGCTTCAGCTTCAACTCACTCTTCTCTTCTAACTTTTTGGTAGTTCACGCCACACCCCAAAACTGCCACCAAATCTATCAATAAATGAGATTGGATTGGACGTATGATCTCACTGACAAACAACTATATATATATATTTATATTTCTTTTTCATTTCTCTTTCTTTTCGCTATTATATTATTTAATGCTCTTTATCTTAGATGGTGTTCTTGACAAATTGGGATTCCCTCATTCACGTTCAAGCTTTTTTTAGTATATATATTTTACATGCGCCGTTTACAATTTCTTTTTTCTTTCTTTTGTTTTGCTCCTTTGATATATATGAACGTGGGAAGAGGGATTCATAAGTTGAGTTATTAAATTGATATATATATATTATTTTCCATTTTCTAAATAATATAATCCACTCTAGATCTCTAATTAAGGTAGAAAGTATTGTTTTGGATTACTAGGGCAATAATGAAAATTTGGCAGGAAAATTATGAAATATTAAAAGGAAAAAACCAGAAAGCGCAGTGGCAGAAGGAGAGCAGGACATGGGTAGGGAAGAAGGGGCCATGGGCCCCCAATTATTTGGGAAATACAAGTTTATGATGTCTCCGTGCAATTTGTATTTACAGGTACAAATTCAAATTGGTAATTAATGAATATTTTGTTATACATTTAACTATTTCCTTTTCATTTCATTTAAAGCTTTTCTTTTTTTTGTGCGTAAGTATATACTCTCTTGGAGTGGGTTGTTCGATAATTTGGTAAGTGTTTATTTTTTTAGTTAATTTGTTAATTGGCGTTTTAGAATCATTAGCTATTTGTCTAAGGCTGTAGATAGTAAGTTTTAGTATTCTAATAGAGATTTTGAATATTATCTTAAGAAATCTTTGTTTCTAGAGAGGGTTTCCTGTGCATTTGGGAGTTTACTCTTATCATAGGATGAAATTTCCAACTGTTCTTGTCCTCGAGACCATTTATTCAAATTTGTTGTATTAGTACTATTCAACATCGTAGATATATATAGTGATAGGTATTAGAATTTGCAATATGAATATATAATGCTATAAATCTCTCATTTTGATCCATAAACTTTCAATAGACAAGACAATGTGACTCGATAGTATATCTATTGACTTATAAATCACATAGGTTGGTTAAAATAAGTATTGAGAGTGAAGAAAATGGTAGGTGGCACAATAATAGGAAGGATATAAACCGTCACTTTTTAAAATATTAGAGAATAACTTTAAAATAGTTATTTTATTTTAATTGAGAATTATACATTTTAAAAACCAAACAATAATATTTAGATATTGATGGATTAAAATTTTGATTTAAGGAAAAAACTTGTCTAAGGGTATCCCTCCCATCATTTGTCTCCCTTGTTTCTAAAATTTGACTCCTTAATATCATTAAATATTTGACAATTGAGATAGAGAAATGTTAAAATTAAAAAAAATAAAAAACAAAAAGAACAAATCTTGTTCTCACCATTGAAAAATTTACAATCATTATATTTTAAAAATTGTTAATGTTTTTACATTTAGTCAAACATTTAATGGTGTGAGGACAAAGTTGCTTCCTACCATTAAAAAGAATTATTTTTAAAAAAATAATAAATTATTAAATATTTGATAGTAAAGTTTTTTCTAAAATTTATGTTGTGAAAAAAAATGCAGCGTATGATTAGATAAAATAATCTAAAATTTCTAAGTAACAAGACGATAAATAGATTAGGGAGAAGAAAATTAAACGTCGAATTTATACTGGTTCACCTAATGTGAGCTACGTCCAGTTATCTGTTACCGTTGCAGGTTCTACTAAAATGTCAGGAAAAATCTCCTAAGAATTTACAAGCCCCTTACAATGATTTCTCTTAGTTTCCCTCACACAGAAAATGCTCACGGATCACTCTACAAGCCTTTCAAACTCTCGAACGGATACACAAGTATTTAGCTCTCAAATTCTCTATTCTTGGAAAATTTCTCACGACTCTCTATTTGTGCACACCAATCAAATGACTCATCTATCTCTATTTATAATAGATGGTATGACAAAAACTAGAAAGAAATAGGAAAATAAAAAAACTTAAACTAAATAGGACAAGTAAAAATTATAGGAATTTTTTTTTCTTCGGTTTGACTCCATCATCCCAAACAATTTAATAGTGATTATTGACTGATCAACATTGAAGTATATTGTTATATAAAATGGAGAGTTGACTTAAGTAAATAGAATTAAAACTTATTTACCAATTTCGTGAGTGTAAGAGAGAAAGAGGGAGGGAGAAAGAGAGAGATGCCCCTGTACTTCCTACCTCGGCCATTGACAAAACAACTCGAAATGACAGATGCAACCATCAGAGTCACTGCCATTCACACTCGCCAACAGTCAGAGACAAACAAAAAAACAATAATTAAAAAAAAAAAATTAAAGCAAGGCAAAATGACACACCCCAATCCACCCTATATAAACACCTGTCCACTCCCCACAAGCCAAAACAAAACTACCCCTCCTTTCCGAGTTTGAACATCTTTTATAATCATCTGAATTTCCTCCCATTTTTGTTCTCTCTCACTCTCTCTATTAGTATTCTCCACATAGATTTCCCCTCCCACTGAAATAAATACACAGACCAGACAACAAATTGAAGAAACCCTTATTCTGCCTAATTTCCTCTAAAAGTAAAAATCCGATTGCATTTACAGGTTCCAGAACGTCATGAGTTTGGGTCACAATATGGACACTCTACACTCCTCCATGAGGAGTAGTGGTAGTCTGCCCTTTGGCTACAGCTTGAGCGCCTCTGCTAATTCAAATTGCGCCATAATTTCCAGCTCCAGTAGCAGCAGCAGCAGCCCCAGAATGGACAGCAGAATCTGGAGCAAACTGCCGCAGCGCCTGCTGGATCGCGTGGTGGCCTTCCTCCCCCCGCCGGCCTTCTTCCGCGCCCGCTGCGTCTGCAAAAGGTGGTACGGACTTCTGTTCTACGGCAGCTTTCTCGAATTGTACCTCCACCTCTCGCCCCACCGCCGCCACTGGTTCATTTTCTTCAAGATGAAAGGCCTCAAGAGCCACATTTATCGGAGTACTAACTGCGCTCATGGACCGGACGCCAGGCCCACCTACGAAGGGTAACCTCCCTCATACTTCTTCTCTTCTTTTTTAATTCACAAAAATTTAACAGAAAAAACAAAAAAAAATAATATATATCATATTATTAACGCTAAATTACTCGATGTCTTTGCTACTATTAAAAAATTGAAAATTGAAAATTTCTTTCAAAGAACTCTCTATTTTTATATTTATCTCTTAATTATCAAATATTTAATAAAAGTGACGAAAAATCTAGTATTTTTTTCTCTGTTTTTTCTATTTGGCAAAGGAGAATCGTTTCTGAGATGGAAGCATGCACATATTTTAATTTTTCTAGTGGTCAAATAGAAAATTCGACAATCCTTCATTTTATTTTTTTTATAAAACATTTGACTCTCCTATGTGTCAAAACTTTCACCCATAGGTCCTGCACTTTGTAAAGCATTGTTCATAATTTTATTGGTTCTAAAATTTTAGTCCATCCATTAATCTGTCGAGTGTTAGGGAGATCTTGTCGATTGGAATAGAGGAAAAAAAAATCAATACTTAATGACTTCTTTTACTAACCACCGTTATTTTTGTCAAGTAAAGAGAAAAATGCATAAAAGAATATATATATATATTTTATTTTTTAAAAAGTTAACTGTCTAATTCCGTCGTCTTAGGTATATTTCTCACTTCCTCTGAATGAAATGGTTTCTTTCTTCAAAATAAAAAATAAAAAAAAACGGTCAAATTTAATTGGTGGGCGGAAACGGGTGATGACACCTTACAATTTTATTTTCTTAAAGAAATAT